GAACCAGTCACGGCGATATGTGTACTACTGGTTATTCGACACAGTCCATGCACGCCACGAGTGGCTCTGGCGATTCCACGACAGCGGGGAGGTTGTGGTCGCACCACTCTGGTGAAACAGCATATTCCAGCGCCGATGATGCACCGATCTGGGAGTTGCTGCTGCTGTACGATTTCGTAGGAACGCTCGGTGTAGCAAGTGTTGCATAACCTTGCTCAATACCAAGTCGTGCGGTGTAGACCGGATACGGAGCATTCTCAAGCACACCTGGTGAGCGAATCCGAAAACATGCGTGTGTGTGTCTGTGCGTGGGCGAAGCAAAAACAAAATCAAGCATCCGCAAACAAAAGCAAAGCAAAGCAAATCAAAAGCAACAGCAAAGGCAAGGGGGCGCAAAGCAAAAGCAAAACCAATGCGAAAATGTAGATGTAGATGTAGATGTAGGTGTAGGTGTAGGTCTAGGTGTAGGTGTAGATGTGGATGTAGGTGTAGATGTAGATGTATATGTAGGTGTAGATGTAGGTGTAGATGTACATGTAGATGTGGGTCTCGCTGTTGGTGTTGATGTAGATGTAGATGCAGGTGTTGATGTTACTGCAGCTGTTGGTGTAGATGTAGATGTTGCTTTCCTAGATGCTCCAGCTCCTAGATAGGGTCGCATTGGGGTAATTTCCAACGTCCCTTTTTTGGGAGGGGGGGATATGCGTGCATTCAGTCCTTACTGCGGCCGCGACGCCCCCAGAGGCCCCCCAAACCGGCCCCGGGCGGCCCAAGGGGGCCCCGAGGCGGCGCGAAGAGAGATTCGAGCAGCGCAAGAGAGCTCAAGGCCATCGAACGGCTCGAGCCCACCGTGCGAATCGGCCTCGCACTCCCGTTCGTTCCCTTACTCGCACGTCGTTGCAGCGGCCGCGGGGTGTCCGCCAGCGATGAAATGCAACGGCTGAACGCTCCGCGCGCGCCTCGGGCGAGGATCAACGCGCGCGCGATGGGAGCGACCACCATGGCGCGCGGCATGGTGGAGGGAGCAGCTGTGCACGACGGCGACGCACCCATGCTTGACCCCTTCTGGCGCAACGCGTTCGGCACCACGCACCTCGACGCCGGGCCTGCCAAGGATCCCGAGGAGAAACTGTCGCGTACTCGGATGGCAAAGAAGAAGGGGGAGCTCGTGGCAAAGGACATCAAGCGCGCCCTGAACTACAATGCAACCGACGAGGTAAACGAGATGTTGTGGGCCACGCGTGCGCGAGACACCAAGACCGACTTTTGGCTGTCGGGGGACCTCGCCAGTCTGGCGGACCTGTTCACGCGTTGCCCGCTCTGATACTGGATCTGTTGGACTAGCCGCCCCAGCACCCCGCCGGCCTTTCATCCAGAACGTTCTGATCTGAAGCTTATGCGCAAGTAATTCAAGCGTCAGCTTCTCTTTCTCGCATAGCAATCGCACAGCCCACAGTTGTTGGCGACGACGTCGCCTCGCAACAGGTACTCCCTACCCGCCTCCCTCTTATCGACTCTCCCCGAATGCGCCCGCGCGCCAGGCGAATCTTCGCACTCTGCTCACTCTTCCTAGGCGCGCCGGCTGTGCGATTCGGAGCGGCCGCCGCCCATTCGACGTCGACCTGTAGATCTCAGCAGCTCCGTGCCGGGCATTCCCTCATCCTCACTCGATTCTTTCTCTCGAGATCTGAGGTTTCAGGGCATTTTGCTTCGAGCAGTGGCGATCGCTTACTTCGCCCGCCCATCCTGCAACAGCTTGGGGTCTGGACCCTGGTCGTTCGAACTCCCTGCGGCTCGCTTTGCAGAGTTTCATTTCGAGCACTCGCCCAAGTTTGGAAAAGGGGGGGCATGAGCGGGAAGGGAATGGGGGGGTCAGCTCCCGCGCGCGCGTTTGACTGCTCGCTCATGCGAGCAGCGCCGCTCGCAGCGTTCGGCCGGAAGGCTAGAGGCAGTCCCTGCGCTGCAGCGGTGAGCGCATTATCGCACGCTGCATAACATGTTTAATGCGTGGGAGACCCATCAGTTTCACATCGCACTCTGTGAAGTTTTGTTCGTTGCTCCGACGCCGTCGAAAAATACGAGAGCTCTGAGACGGCCCCGAGAGAGTGCCCAGGGGGCCCGATGGGGGCCACAGGAGGATCCTTACATGGTCGGAGAGGGCCCCGAGACGGGCTCAGCTCCCCATGACGGGACAAGAGGGACCCGCGCAGTACACATTCGTAGCGAGAGATGGGTTTGCCCATTTCAACGATGACGATGACGATTCCGATGGCGATGATTGACTTGATTTCGATGGCATGATTTCGATGGCATCATTGACTTGAGTCTGTTTTATTTAGCAAGGTCAAGGTCAAGGTCAAGCCTGCATGCCCGCGAAGGGGCGGCCGCTTAGGGCACCGGCGGGTGAAAACGAGCAGACGCTGATGTGGTGAAGAAACGATCTTGTCATGCAGTTCCAAGAATGTGGGTCTTTGGCTGCTATTCTCCAGTCGCCGATTCCGTACTTGTCGCAGAAACACGGGACATCATATTCCCACGTCAACCACAGTCTCCTCTGGGACCTGATTCCAGCAGGTGGCCATGCAAGAACGCGTGACAGCCATCTGTCGGCAGGCAGGTTGGCGACGTACCCGGCGAAGTCCCAGTATTGGCGAAGCAGTGTTTCCGACCGGAGTTTGGTCTGAGTGCCATGCAACTTTTCCGTAGCACGCTCGTGCCGCACATGCGATATTTCACGCCATGGGCGGGCCCAGTCGATCCCGCATGGCGGCCCGACGACTTGTCGAAGAAGCTTGCGACGCGCAGCGCCCAGCTTCTTCCTCTCGGCTGCATAGACCACGCGGCGAGCATAACCAAACATGGCAATCGGGGTGATGACGGCATGGGAGTAGTTCAAGCGCAGTTTAACTAGTACATGATTCGCTGCGAAGATCCACCGGCTCGCAAAAAAAAAAACCTTGTAGCAGCTTGAACGTCGGTCGACAAACTGTATCCTAGCAATTTGTGAGAGTTCGCGCGTTTGATACATACACCGCAGGGGGGCAAGAGCTTGTCCGGCGGTTGCGCCTCGGCCGTCAGGGCTACAGTTTTGTCGGCGTTCAGCATCGGGCCAACTTCGGCGAGCTCCTCAGCCAGCGACGTCAGAAGAATCGCAGCCTCTTTCTGCGATTTCGCGAACAATACTACGTCGTCAGCGAACCGTAAATCCAAACATTGACGCAATCCGTCTCCCAAGTCAAGCTGCTGCCCTGGACTTCCGACGCCAACGGGCCATCGCCTATTCAAACAAACGGCAGAAGAGCCTTGGGCTGAGAACGCAATCCTGTCGGACCCCAGCTCGGATGTCAAAAGGTTCGCTGTGCTGAGAATTGCCTTTCACATGCCTGCAATCTCCGCATAAGGTGGTCGGAAATACCGTGCCCGCGCAAATCCGACCACAGAGCAGACCAATTCACGCGATCGAAAGCGTTCGACAAATCTAAGCTCGCAGCCCAGACCGGGACAGCAACTGACCTTATCTTGTCCAAGAACATGTTTGCTGTCAGAAGAAGGTGCTCCTCAATGCGGTAATCGGCCCGGAAAGCGCGTTGTTCTTCAGGTTGGTGTTTGTCCAGCATTTTCTCTAAGCGCCCCAACACCAAATATGCAAATAGTCGGTGCAAAATCCGTGCGTTGGCAATGGGCCGGCAGTCGGAAACAGCTACGGCATTCGCACTTTTCGGAAGCATCTGGCACAAGGTTCGTCGCCAGCTCTCCGGGGGAAGCCCCTGCAGCAGTGCTCTGTTGTACAAGCAGCTCCTGAAGGGAGCGGGAGTGCTGTGTAGGAGTTCTGCAACCAAGCTAATGTCGTCAGAAGCTCGCTTCGCGTTCATCCTGCCCACCGCAGCGTCGAGTTTTGTCGCGGAGAACAGATCCTCCGCGAGAGTTTGCGGTCTTTCTGGCGCAGGCAATACCCCAGCAAACAAGCCGCCAAGGAATTGAGCGAAATCATTCTCCGATGGTGGTTGGGGCTGGCTTCTCCCTTCGAGCTTGTCCAACAACGATTTGTTTTCGTGCCGATTCTTTGAACTCTTCAACATGTATTCCAATTGTTGTCTTCCATGTTCTGACCTCCTGTCTTTGCAAGCGCCGGATCTCAAAACTAAGCTCTTTGCATCAGCCTGATCGCGGGCGCGTCTTCTCTAAACCCGGAGCTCCTGGAGACGTGAATTTGGACTGAAACGTAGATTGGTTGTCGCCGCATAGCTGAAATTCGTTGCCGCATCTTGAAGGGCTGCTTCAACTTGCTCGAAAGACGCCGTACTCCAATGTTCTAAGACCCACGTGCTCAGGTAATCTTGAGAATCTTGTGGTTGGCCACGCTCGTCCAGATTTGGCTTTCATGGCTTGAGCGACTTCTGGCGCCGCTTGCGCCTGTCCCTACTGGTAGACATGGCCCGCTGCACCCTCAGCTGCGCAACGCTGTGGACGCAACGATGGTCAAGACCGATTGGCAAGCAATTGTCGTACCATGTGCTGCGACAGTGGACCTGGCTACCTGCCAGGAGAAAGTCTAGCTGCACCAAAGCCCCGTTCATTGTGCGTCTGCAGGTCCAGCCATGTTCACTACGTTCTGCCGCCGACTGCCGACTCAATCTTCCTCCTCCTCCTCCTTCTCCTCCTCCTCCTCCTCCTCCTCCTCCCCCTCATCCTTCTCTTCCCTTTCCCAGTGAAACTGAAGATGCGTGATTGGACGAGGATCGATGGATCGTCGCTGTGATCCCAGGCGTCCGGCAGAATTTTGTTTCAATCCGTGTCCCGTCGACCTCCCGATCCCTTTCCTGGAAGCAGTTTCCTATCCTGGATCCATCTTGAGTGTTCCTGGGACCCGGAAGCGGCTCCTGGGTGTCCGAAAGGAAAGCAACACGCCAGGATTGGGGAAACAACATGATTCGGAGGTTTGGGATGTTGTGCCGATAGATCTTCGAGTGCGTTGCTTGGTTGCCTCTTACCGCCGCGAGGCGATTTGGCAGGCAGCGCACACCTCTGCGATGACCGAGGCGCTGCCTTGATTTTGGCCCGGATGATGGGGAGGGTTGATGAGGAGAAAGATCAAGGATCGAGAAGCTTTTTCGTACCCATTTCGGGCTCATGGACTGTCAGGAGTAGGTTTGGGATTTGCCAATATGGATTTCCGAGGTCCGCGGATAAATTTTGAGCGGATATGGGCTGGGAGGAGGACAGAGGATGAAGGTGTTTGGTCGATTTTGATGTTGCTCTGGCCTCCAGAGGCGTCCGAGGGACCTTCCCGACCCAGAGACCTGGCGGATTGTTGGTTCGATTCTGGCGGCGTCTTACTCCAAGCATCAATCTCGCCCTAGGCCTCTCAGCATGATAGATTTAGCGCTATCGTTTGTCAGCACCTCGCGTCCACGTTCAGATCCAGCCCCAACCCGGTGCAGGCCTGGCCCCTTCCACAGGTAGCGGCGAACAGAAATTTGAGAAGGCTGAAATTTGCCAGAGCGGTCGGGACCTGTCGTGGGTAGCCCCGAAATTGACAGGACAAACCCAGAAACTCCAAATCAACCCAGAAATTCGGAGGACAAACCGGGAACAAATCCATGGCAAATCTGGAACATTTCAGGGCAAATTTGGAAACGCGCCAAACTTGGCAATTCCCAAACAAACGGAAAATCAAAGGCCAAACCGGGAACAGTGGAAGGGGCAAAACGGGGAATTGTAAGAAATTGGGGATTTGGGGATTGGTGTGGGGGTGGAGGTTGGTAGATGGAGAGCGGGGAGAAGGGGAAGGGGGGATTGAGGAGGGATGGTGGGGGAGGAGGAATACGACAGGAGGGAGGAGGGAGAGGGAGGAGGGAGAAGGGAGGGAGGCGGCATGAGGGAGGAGGGAGGAGAAGGATGGGGAGGAAGGAGGAAAGGGGAGGAGGGGGAGGGAACAGGGACGGCCTCGGTGATGGTCTGCGTGCGCCGCAGGCACACAGGTCACGGCCCCTCACTTGTGAGGAGGGCCGCGTTCTCGCCCTTCACTTAAGGGGAGAGGGCGAATCAGAAGAGGAACTCGAAGCCTTGCTGGGCCACGCACGGGGCCCTCGTAAGGTGTCTCCTCCCGAGCGCCTCGGCTCGGTTCGCTCGTATTCGCTTGCGTTGGGACTCGGAGAGGAGGGGAGGGGCAAGAGGAGGGGGAGGAGGCGGAGCAAGGGCGGGGGCGACGGGGGAGGCGAGCCCAACGAAGCTTGTGCATACGGGTCCTCTTGGGCGCCTTCCGTCCTAGGGCCCTGGCTGCCGGGCACTTGCGCAGGCCCTGGGCAGGCGGCCTGGGAGAACGCCCGGACCAGAGGGCGGCGGAAGCGCTCCCTCTCGGGATCGGGGCGAGAGCGACGGTCCGCGCGGCGAAAATCCGGGGCCCACTGGGCCGCGTCCTCTTCCCCCCTGGACAGACCCCACGAACAAGTCCCAAAGACCCTCCACCTCAGGACCTGATTCGTGGCCAACGGATCCGTCGTCGAGCTCCAGGGAAGCGAAATCCGCCACCGTCTGGACGACGGACTCGACGATGGCCCTACAGAGGCCTGGGGGGTAGACGTTCTTGGCCGAGGTCCTGAAGCTCCCAACAGGCTCGGTTTTCCATGCAGCAGCAGCAGCAGCCCTACTTCCCCGCCCAGTACCAGATGCAGCAGAGCATGGCCAGAGACACGTTCCTGACCGACTATGATGACTGGAGCAGCAGTGGTACGAGCGGCGACGAGATTCCCCAGGCAGGGCTCGACGCTTGTCTCAGCAATGTGGACCCGTCAATGCGCGCCCAGACGCTATGGCAGGACTTTCTGGTTACAAGAAGGCGCTGGAGGACGTTCACCAAGACATATATTAGACATGATCGACGGTATCAACGCAGAAAAGGAAAAGGACGTGGCGCTCATCACTCAGGAAAGGGTTATCAAGGCACTGGAAAAGGGTTCTCGGGGCTAGTCAGGCGAGCGCTTGGAATCGCAGTTTCTATGAAGAACAGCATGCTGGAACGCCACATCCTGTTCCGCACTACGCTGGCTTCCAAGGCAAGAAAGGCGGCAAACGACGTACGAACCCTCGAGGCCCTGACGGACAGACGGTGCGTTGCCACAGATGCGAGTCGGATCAGCATCTTATTCAGGACTGTCCACAGGCTACTGGACATCATCACACTCAGGCACCCGCGTCAGGAGTTCCAGCACCTCAGCAGTCTTCCGCGGGAAATACGTATACTCCACAGTCTGGCTTACTGGCTGTGGCGCAGTTACCGTCAGTGGCGAGGACTACGAGCATGTTCATGACCAGCCGCGCGCATGACGACCGAGAGCAGATCGATAATCATCATTGGTCAGCGGTGTCTGTTCATGAGGAGGACAATCCCTGGAGTTCGTACACTGGCACATCGAACACGAATCGGGCTCCGACGAGATCAAGTCCCATGGATTGGGCAGGAGGCGATGGTGCGAGTTCAGCAGGATATGTTCCGCGCTCGTCACCAATAAGCCAGTTCAGTGGTATGAGCAGACAGGCAACGACAGCAACAGGAAGCTTCTCGACTCGTCACGGACACGGAGATGATCAGGAGCCTGACAGTTACCGACGTGGACGAGGAAAAGGCAAGAATGCTGAGATTCGAGAGGTCCCGAGCGAGATGTAATGAACATTGCATGCATGCACGTGTGTATTCATAGCCTTTCTGTATCAAGGAGTTCGCCCAGGCCTGAGGTGGAAAGAGACCTAGCCCCATCCAGATCCTCCATCTTGTGTAAATTTCTACATGGTAGGCGGAGCGTGATCTGCCGCAGCCAGGCGTGAGGACCGACCCCTCCTGGACGGATTCAGATGGAAGCGGCTCTCCAGGAGCTGCAGCGAGTCGTCGGAGAGCAGGCGGCCCAGATCCAAGCCCTCTCGGCAGCGGGCCAACAGAGCCCGAGAGGAGTGGCTGCGGCGGCGGAGGACAAGCGGCTCGAGAGCATCGTAGACACGAAGATCCTCAGCAGGATCGGAGTCTTCTCGGGCGACGACGAGGACTGGAGGCAGTGGTGCTTCGTGTTCGAGTCGACGGCGGGACTCGTCGACCTAGAGGAGATCATGACGCACTGCGAGGACACGGCAGAGAGTGAACTAGGCTGGGCGGCCCAGTCGGAGAAGATCCAACTTCGGATGAAGGTGTTGTACCACTTGCTGATCGCTACGACGAAGGGCAAGGCCCTCACGATTCTACAGATGGTGCCGAAGAACAACGGTGCCATAGGATGGAAGAGACTGAAGGAGGAGTACGAGCCGAAGTCTGGAGGAAGGCTGACGGCGATGCTGATGGGAGTTCTGAAGCCCGAGTGGGAGACCGCCGTCAGGAGCGGTGTCCGTGCTTGGGAGGCGGCCTGGAAGGAGTGGGAGAAGAGTGTCTCGCTCTATGAGGCCCAGTCCATGGAGAAGGTCACGGAGGGCACGAGGATTGCCGTCGTGGTCAGGTGGGCTCCAGAGGACGTGAAGGCTGTGATTCGCCAGTCCCTGGGGGCGATTGGCCAGGATTACAACAGATTGGCCAAGGTAGTGACCGACTATATCGCGAGTGGAAAGGTCTACGAGACCACAGGAGCTCCTCACGGCATCCAGTACACGAATGATGGCCCCATGCCCATGGACGTCGGACTGGTGAAAGACAACGGCGACGTCTGTGGCATCTCCAAGCCGCCGAAGGGGTTCGGCAAGCAAGCGAGGATCGACGCAGGAAAAGGCCGTGGAGATCGTGACTCTTGTGCGAACTGCGGCAAGAAGGGCCACTGGGCAAGGGACTGCTGGGCCCCAGGCGGTGGAGCGGCCAAGAACCCGAAAGGTAAGGGAAAGGATAAGGACCCGAAAGGCAAGGGCAAGGACAGGAAAAGGTGCGACAAGTGCGGGAAGATAGGCCACGAGGCCAAGGATTGTAGGTCACACATCAAGTGCGACAAGTGCGGCAAGATGGGTCACAAGGCTTCGGAGTGCAGGTCGAAGCCGGAGAACGCTGAGGTCAAGAGGATCGTTAACAATGAGGACGAGCTGTGGGTGATGGGCGTCACCGAGAGCGTGAACACCATCAACGACAACAGCAGGTACGTGTGGGTCTCTATCGACAGCGGGTCGGACGCAGACGGATGTCCCCTCAGCTTCGGTCACTCGAGCGACGACGTCGAGGACCCCACCAGCGTGGAGCTGAGGACGGCCACGAACGAGGAGATCAAGGACTACGGCGAGCGGAATGTCGGCATTGCCTTCCTGGACGAGACGGGCAAGGAGGTGATGGCCACGAATCGGTTCCGCATTGGCGACTTCAGCAAACCCGTACTGAGCTGCGGGATCAGGGTCATGAGAGGTGCTGTCATTCATCTTGAGCAGGGGAACAGCTACATGGCCCCGCCGAGCTTGAACGGCACCCAGAGGAAGATCCCTCTGACGATGATCGGGAAGAGCTTCTACGCGAAGTGTCGTGTGCTGGAGCCAGGTGCTCAACGACATCGAGTGGCACCAGTTGTCGATCAGATGGCACAAGAGCAAGCTGTACCGTCAGTACAACCTGAACTGCAAGCTGCGCACGCTCTGCTGCCCACGGTGCCGCCACAGGATCATCAAGAAGTACCCGTACCACCACAGGCTGGACCTCCACGAGAGATCCTCGGTCCTCAGTCGTCGGTCGAAGCATTGAGGACGCGCCTGAAGGAGTTGAGAAAGTTAGGGGTCGTGGACGCGGCCATCTACGGCACCAAGAGGCAGCTATGGGAGAGACTTGTCAAGTGCGAACACCAGTTGGACGAAAGGATGAAGGTCAAGGAAGCTCTGGAAGAACGTCAACGACGACTTCGAGAAGGCGTGGACCCTGAGGTGCCGAGGACGCTGAAGATTCCTGAGAGGCCAGATGAGGAGACAGTGAGGCAACACGAGCTCACTCATGCGAAGTTCGAGCCATGGTGTCTGGAGTGTGTGTTTGGAAAGGGAGATGCTGCACCTCATCGTGGAGTCCAGTTTCTCACGGACAAGGAGCCAGAGGTACCCG